TGGCCCTTTTACTAGGTGGCCCTACATCAACCTCGGCTACCTTCCTCGTAAAAGCTACCCTCTTGAGGTCGGACTCGAGTTCTTTGGACGTGGGGCGATCCAGGGGACATATATGGATGACATCTATGATGTTGTCCGGCTCCTCGGTCGGGGCAAGGGCTTGTCTCTCTTCTGGCCTGGGCTCTATGTACTCTTTCAAATATCCGTCTCGGACCAATCTTTCCAAGAACGATTTGAACACCCTGCAGCTTTCGGTGCGATGCCCGAAATCCCGGTGATAGGAACACCTAACCTTTTGATCACGGGTGGAGGGGTCGCTCTGCATCCTGGGCGGCCATTTGAAGAACGGCTCGTGCTTGATTTTATGGAGCAGTTTGAAGATAGGTTCCTTGAAAATAGTGTGAATTCCTTTGGACGGACCCCCTGGAGGGGGCAGTAATCCCTTTCAGGGAATATCTTCCCGCTCCTTCTCTTTTCTCTTAGACTGGAGGGCTCGGCCTTTGCTGCTTCCCATCTCGTCCTCANCATCCGTTTCAAAGTTTCGAAGTACATCACCTCCGAGGAGCTTCCAGAGTCTATCAAAATCCTTTTGACATCGAATTTTCCTATTCTCAGGGTCAAAACAAGGGCGTCGTTATGGGGAGTCACTACGCCTGTCAAATCCGCGTCGGAGAATGTAATGCCAAGCTCACCCGTCCTGGCCCTTTTACTAGGTGGCCCTACATCAACCTCGGCTACCTTCCTCGTAAAAGCTACCCTCTTGAGGTCGGACTCGAGTTCTTTGGACGTGGGGCGATCTAGGGGACATATATGGATGACATCTATGATGTTGTCCGGCTCCTCGGTCGGGGCAAGGGCTTGTCTCTCTTCTGGCCTGGGCTCTATGTACTCTTTCAAATATCCGTCTCGGACCAATCTTTCCAAGAACGATTTGAACACCCTGCAGCTTTCGGTGCGATGCCCGAAATCCCGGTGATAGGAACACCTAACCTTTTGATCACGGGTGGAGGGGTCGCTCTGCATCCTGGGCGGCCATTTGAAGAACGGCTTGTGCTTGATTTTATGGAGCAGCTTGAAGATGAGTTCCTTGAACACAGTGTGAATTCCTTTGGACGGACCCCGTGGAGGGGGTAGCAATCCCTTTCAGGGAATATCTTCCCGCTCCTTCTCTTTTCTCTTAGACTGGAGGGCTCGGCCTTTGCTGCTTCCCATCTCGTCCTCATCCCTCGAGTATTTGTTTATCCGGGCCATTAATTCCCCCATGTCCGAGGGAGTCTTCTTGGTCAGGGATCGGTACAGGTCCGTGTCCCTTGCCAAGCCGAGCCGGAAAGATGCTGCTGCCATGACCTCCGAGCAGCCTTCTACCTCATTAACCTCTTCCCAGTATCGGATGGCGTACTGGCGAAGAGTCTCGGATTCCCTCCGTCTGAGGGTCAGCAATGATTCAATGTCTTTGGGGCGCTTACTCCCCGTAATGAATCGAGCCAGGAACTGCTTAGTCAATTCCTTCCAGGACCCAATACTGTTGNTTCCTCCGTCTGAGGGTCAGCAATGATCCAATGTTTTTGGGGCGCTTACTCCCCGTAATGAATCGAGCCAGGAACTGCTTAGTCAATTCCTTCCAGGACCCAATACTGTTGGGGGGAAGCGCCTCGAACCACTTCATCGCAGAGTCTCCCAAGCTCATAGGAAACACTCGGCAGAGAAACCGTTGGTCCGAATGATAGAGGGACATCATCTGCTTGTATTGCCTGACATGGGCTTCGGGATCGGACCGCCCGTCATAAGTTTTGAACCGCGGCACGACAAACTTTCTTGAAACCTCCATCTCACCGATCTCCCTCGTAAAGGGTGTTTGTATGACTTCGTCCTCGGCCTCATCCTGGACAGCCTTACCCTTTCTCCTGGAGTCTAACCGGGCTCTGAGCTTAATTTCTTCCCTGACGGGATGCCTTCTGAAGTCCTTGAGTTCATCGGTAAGTCCCTCATTTCTTGGGCATCGTGTGGATTGGGTTGAGTCCTCCTCGGATTCATCTCCCTTCCTCCGTCTAGACAAACCTCGCCGGAGGTCGTCCAGGGCCAATGGTCTTGCTTTCCTTGAGTGGTTGTCATGATGATGCTCGCCGGCTCTGGGTCGCTTTGGGGCTCTAGAGCTTTCTGCTTTGTTGTTTAGGTGGTTTTTTAGATCCTTCGTTTCCGCCTCCCGGGCGGGAAGCCCACGAGAAAGGAATGAATCCCTCGATCCTTCGCCAGAGGCGGCAAACTCGTTGAGCCGGCTTAGGACGTTTACATTGTCTTTTTCCAGCTGTTGTAATCTATTGCCGAATTTTTCTTCAATCACCTCCACCAGCTGATGAGCCAAGGGGGCTGATCCCCCTGATCTGATTCCCATACTGGTTTGAGGGGTAACCCCTCTTGATCGAGTAGAGGCACTTTTATTCATATCGGTGTGATCCCTTCCTCCGTGATGACAGGGAGCTTGTAACTCGAGACTCCTTTGNACCCCTCTTGATCGAGTAGAGGCACTTTTATTCATATCGGTGTGATCCCTTCTTCCGTGATGACAGGGAGCTTTTAACTCAAGACTCCTTTGGTGGGGGCCTTTCCCTTTCTGTCGAGTGTTCACCATGGTCACTGTTCTTTATAGAGAAAAAACTAGGAAAACTAGTCGTTTCCCACAGACGGCGCCAGATTGTGCGTGCAAGATCCTGCACAATATAAAAAACGAGAACAGATCTCTCCCTTGGTGAACTCNTCGTTTCCCACAGACAGCGCCAGATTGTGCGTGCAAGATCCTGTACAATATAAAAAATGAGAACAGATCTCTTCCTTGGTGAACTCGAGTGAGCCAGTTGAGAGACCAATCACGCTTCTTGGAACAGCCTGCGAGGTCCGGTGGTAACCTGGAACGCCAACGGGAGACCCTGGGGGAGCGGAAGAACGATCCAGTAAGGTTGAAAGAGGTCCCTGGAACAAAGAAGAACAAGTTAGAAGGGCGCCAGAGTGTTTTCCGGCGTATCCCCTCCGACGATCTAGTCAGTCTTTGAGAAAGAGAGAGGAAGGAGAAAACACTGAGTGTGTATTGTAGTAAAGAGTTTTTTGTTGCATACCCGTCTTGCCTTTTGCAAGGAGTATTTATACCTCAAAAGCTCATGATTGCTGTCAGTGTAGTCAGTAGGTGATCATTAGGTACAGGCAGTGTGCGCACTGATTCTGATGAGGAATGTCTTCTCTTCTTAACTGCTCGGGGTCCCGAGCAATCAATGCTGGGTCATCGGGATGCCGACGGTACAATGTACTCCTCTCGGGGGAGGAGGCAATAAATGCACTGTATTAGGAGCATTTATTGCCTTTCATTTCTGAGTCTTACCGCATTGAATGCGGTCTCATCAAAGGAATGGTGTAATTAATAGTTTGCTTTCCCAAGTCGCGTGTCAGCAACGGCATGCGGTTTCTCTGTCTTCGATGTGATATCATATGCCACGCGTCCATCCCCTATTAGCTGTGACCCCTGCATTCCAGTACGTTCTGATACTAACTGTGTAAGACGAAATCATGATGAATAGCCTAGGCTAATGACCTGTACGTCAATAGCTTATCCTGGATTAGAGGAGGCGTCCAGGACAGGGTACACCTCGGCACCGAGGAAAGGCTCATCTCGGAACCGAGGGAGGGATACCGACCGAGGTACCATATCATACCGAGGCCACGTGTCGGTTGTAAAACGTACTAAATGCCATGATCCTATATGACGAGTACCTCGGGGGCGAGGACCTTTATGCGCCGATGGTGCTTGATCTTATCAACAGTGTTTTAGTAATACCGAGGACACGTGTCTTCATCATAGAGTATTTCAGAAAAATCCCATCAAAACAATTTTGGATTTTTAGGTAAAAACAAAAGTGTACCAATACAAGTACATATTGTACTTTGTGTTTTTGCGATTTCATTGTATCTACTAATTTTACATCCACAATCAGATTTTCATAAAAAAATGATTTGCCCCAATCAAATAAAAAAAACAAATCAAAATCAACATTTTGCAACATAGTATAAACAATAATGTTAGAAGCATCACAGAGACAAAAAAAAAAAAAAAATTGCTGCTTACCGTCGAGATTGCAGACTTAGAATTTACGCTCAACAACTTCTTTCGTTTGAATACCGACGCTCAGTGTAGCATCACTCGAAATTGGAAGAACAAGGAAAAAAAAAGTTGTTCAATGACTAAGAAGAAGTGGCACACGAGTTGGATTCTTGCTTGAATTTCAAAACCCCGTTTTCAGAGAAAGAATGATGATGCATCGTTTGAGAGAGAGAAAGATGAATCGTTTTTCCCTCGGTGTGTTTCAAAGATGAAAGGTCATGCCAGTTAGATAGCGACTAATGTGGAATAATTGAAATTAAGATATTATTCTAAAATAGATTTTTGGAAACTGNGTGAATCGTTTTTCCCTCGGTGTGTTTCAAAGATGAAAGGTCATGCCAGTTAGATAGCTACTAATGTGGAATAATTGAAATTAAGATATTATTCTAAAATAGATTTTTGGAAACTGAATTGCATAAAAAAGGTAATAAAGTCTTTCAATATCACACGTGGACTTTTTAACAAAATATTTTNTGAATTGCATAAAAAAGGTAATAAAGTCTTTCAATATCACACGTGGACTTTTTAACAAAATATTTTTTATTATATACTTTTTGACAATTAAATTTAATTTAGTGTACCAACTTCCGAATGACCATTTTTTTTAAATAAAGCCACCATTGCATACCTTCCCAAATCCACCAACAAACAGGCCCTTCGAGTTCTACTGAAATGAAACATAGAAACCATTTCCAACCATGTCTTACTACGGATGGATCTACCGTGGTCATGCGAGGCCACTGCTCACCCGTGTTACCTTTAAGTCCAGCAGAATGGGCAGATGATACAACATAAGTGATGAACCTACCCATCAACGAGTTCTCTCCTAATCAAACGCAGAACACCTCCCACCAACCAATACTCGCATCCAAGCTGGCTAGATTTGCTTCAAAAGCTGGATTTAAGGCTTGGATTATAGCTTGACAAATACACATAAACCTATCCTAAAGAGGAACCAAAAAAGAGAAACTAAAAATTCCACAAGACTCAAGAGGCCTGTACATCTCTTCTATGGAAAAAGCTAATAACAAGTAAATGCCCATAGGAACAGGACACAGCATGTACAAAAATGGAGCTGCAGCAGAAATTTACGACACTGAACAGGGTTTAAAGAGAGACTCAGAACTGGTATACTGAAAAGCTCTTGTTCTTACACCAAAAACTCCAAGCCCTCCCCATCTTTCTTCTTGAGACAGACTTGGATAATGGTTTTGATTCTTGAGCAAGACCAGACATCTCACTATTTTCATGCAGCTGATGAGTCTGAGCAGGCAATGGGTCCCGTTGTCGCTGCTCACGGAACAGCATCAAAAGTTTCTGAGCCTTCTGTTTTGCTCTCATAGTCCCGTTCACTGAAATCGACACCAGTGAAGGTATCACCCCTTCTTGCAGGACCATTTGACTGCATTTCTCATTTCCATTACATAAAATCAGCAGGCATGCGGCAGCTTGCTCCTGCTCAATAGGCTCACCGATGTCCAATACCGTTGCAAGTCCACTTATTAGGCCCGGGGCTGATATAATTTTATCTCTTGCTGATTTACTTGAAGCTAAGTTTGTAAAGACAGCTACGCATTTTTCTGTCCATGAGTTTTCACTAGAATCCGTTACAAGGGCTTGGAGACCATTAATGAGGCCAGCTGAGAGAAGGTGGATAATGTTGGAGGGGTGGCAGGAGAGATTATAGAGGGCGTGAAGGGCATCAAGCTTACATTGGGAATCAGCTTCCGAGCAAAGTACCTTAACTAAGAAAGGGACAGCTTTACTTGAGCCAATAATAGGCTTGGCTTCTTCAAGACATGAAAGGTTTAGGTAAAGGGCTGTTGCGGATCCATGAGAATTGGAGTTGGAAATCATTTCCCCAAGTAGCGGAAGTACTCCTGCTGCCAACATTATTTCTTTGTTTCTGGAAGGAATATAGACAAATAGATACCAAAGTTCATCAGATCTAAATGTCTCTTCATGGATCTATAAAAAAACATGGAACTAAGACCAAATCAAGTCGTACAAGTAAATCACATTTACAATATAAGAATTTCAAATATTCAGATTTTAAATCTAACCAAGTCAAAATTTTAGTCAACCAAATATTCAATCCCAATTATATGATGAATGATTAAGCTTGTCAAGTGAACAAAATATAATGGGGCATCCCTGCAGTGAGTCCCAATGCCAATCAATGCCTAGTACAAAAAAACTGTTGTCGAAAGATAGGGATGGAAAACAGATCATCTAACCTGGACATCATAGACCATCTAAAAGCTAAAAACAGATAACATGGAAGATACGCACAGTTCTAAGGGCTACAGAAAGGACGCCACAGGGAGCCATGGCCATAAATATATTATTTTTACAAATCGCATTCCCAAGTTCATGAGAATTATAATTGTCTTCCCTTGAAACTCTCTTGAGCTAATGGTCAAAGATTCACAATTCTTAGGACAAAATAGATATAAAACCCTTCATGAAAGACAATTACCTTACCATATCCAACCAATCAGAATAACATATCAGAAAAAACATGAAAATTTGTTAGCAATCTTCTTTTTCAGAAAGTAAATGGTCTGTTTGTTTCAAATTTGTTAGCAATTATAAGCTCATAAGAAACTTTTTTTGATGATCCGTTAATGTCCTGGAACCCTAAAAAACAACAGAAATCATGGTATTCTTCCATTGTTTCCTATGGCTTCAAACCCCAAAGAAATGAACAAGAGCATACCTCTTATTATTAACAGCAAGATTGAAGAGAGCCATAGTTCCAACTTTCTGAGCCATCTCATTTCTTACATGCACAGCAGACTCTAAAAACTGCAGTAGCGCTTCCACAAAACCATTTGCCCCCATATAAATCCTGGCTTCCTCATCATCCTTTAGCAAGTGCCTCATCTGTTCTACCACCTTGCACTTTTCCCTCAAGTCCTCCTCTTTCTCCAAGATGGCCAAAAAGTCTTCATATTTTTCAAACACATTCATCTCAAACTCATCTTCCCGTGCATACACATCTTCAACTTCATTTCCTTCAGCCTCCTCAATAATACCACTCTCCAAAGGAACCACCTTTACACCCTTGAACTTGCAGGAGCTAATACTGTCCATTGATCTCGAACTCGCAGACTCGCTTTCAGACAAAGCCAGCCTCCAGTAGTTGAGATCGAGAGACTCCGGTGGGCCATCTGGAACAGGAACTCCATTATGTTCACACCAACTAGCAACCAGACCCTTGACACAGTAATTAGGAGTTAAAGAAAGATGAGAGAGCTGCTGCTGAGTTTTTGGGCAGGTGTTGTGCCCATCATTGAACCATTTCTCAATGCAAATCCTTTCATATGTTTGCCCAGAAGCAATGATGACTGGATCGTACGTGAGCTGCAACGATATGGGACACTTTAACTCCTCAGGAGGAACAGGCACATGCCCTGATCTCCTGAAGTTTGGTTTGAAAGTGAAAGAACTGAGTTTGGAGAGATGCCGCTCAAAGGCATGAACATTTCCACCAGGCCCATTACCATCTTCAAAAGATCCTAGAACAGTGGGGGAACAAGGATTTGAACCCTGTGAGTCATTATCATCTGAGAATTCACTTCGAAATAACTTCGAGTATTTCCTCATAAGATGCAAAAGATAAGCCACTATTGATTCCTTCCGCTTGTCTTCCTCCAACCGAGCTCTTTCTATGAGTTTCTTTAGAGACCTTCTTTCTCTAAGAGCCGCTCTTGAAGAGGTAATACCAAGTCTAGAAGCAGCCTGGTGAAAAGATTCGAGCTCGTTACTGTCATTAGCGTTGCTGTTGAATTTTCTCCCTTGCTGGAGCAACACAATTATATCATCACCCACTTGCTTCTCCAATGGATTAAGTGAGAACTCAGTTGCCTCAAGTTCACTTAGAATTTCGGAAATCTGGAACAGAGGTAGTTACAGATTAGAATTACAAACTTTTTAATGAAAAGGACTAGAACCATTCCACTTAAGAACAATAGTTGTGTTGTTATTCTATGTAATCCCATAAAATTCATGAACAGGTGAAGTAAAAGAAAATTTTCCCCATTCAAACAAAAAAGTCACCACAACACATCATATAAGCAAACTAGGATCATTTAAAGGGCCACTGGCCACATAAAACTATTATCAGCTGCTGAAATATACACACGGACCAAATGTTCATCACTCTTCTTGTCCCCTTCATTCACTGCTTCAATATGACATCAGGTCATCACACTTATTAAGATTGGATTTTATTTGTTCATGTTAGAATAGCTTCCAAGCATTTATCTATCTTCAGCAAGCATCATCTGTGTCTCCACAACATGAAAGAAAGTTCCTAGTTGGATTTTTCATTCATCGACAAAAAGAGGAAACAGCGCCAAACAGTTGCACTGCACTTGGGGATGTAAAAGAACTTGGACCAATCTCATAATATACTTATGGGTGATCACTTAAACCCTGAATTGAGGAAAGCATTATCATCCCAACTCTGTAACGAGCAAGTCCTTGGTGTAGCATTCATTCATAAAACCGTAGGAGTGATAATAAATAACAACGATGATGAGCAAGGCCTTTTCGATTGCTTCAGACTAACAAGATCAAGTTGTGGTTCATGGAGCATCATATAGCTTCCAAAGGGTGATCCTTTACTCACAAAGCTGTGATGATAAATATCCTATCATTCAAAATCCAAACCTAAAACTTTACTAAACAGTGACGGCCTCAAATATATTAAACTAGAAACACTGGAAAAGAGAGAGGCAAAAGAACTTCCATCAACATTACCTGACAACCAATAGCTTGTGGAACAATATCTTCAACTCGCCTAAGACCATCTTCAAGGGAACATCTTGCCTTCTCAAACTTCAAAACAACAGAGTCCCCAGTTACAGCCTGCATTATACAAATAGTATCAATCATAAAACATTCCTTCGACCTAAATAGTAAAGGATCTTCGTTGTTTTAAAAAAGAAAAGAAAAAAGCTTCAAACTCAACAACAATTCTAAAAAAATGCAATATTCAATGCCCTACCATCAAACAGTCCACGCAAATACTACTTGCGAATGAATAAAGCATATACACTTAAGATCGCAAGAAGAAGAGTAATATCTTCACCACACATTCCCGGATGTCCACCAATTAAATCCACATAATGATTTCATTGATTTGCATGGGCGTATTTATTACTATTCCTCTAAGTGCATGTTCCTATGAGGGGTGAACCAAAGTTCAAACAGTATCTCCATACAAAACTAAGTAGCATACCATAAATTCTTGTAGGGGCTCACAATGACCAAGGATCATCAACTTCTGACACATGAAAATAGAGGTATCCCGTCATCATATCCATGATGGCTCCTAAGCAAATATCTTAGGAAACATTAGCCCAATGGCAGGTCTATTCTCAGTAGTAGGACCCATCATTACAGAATAAGATACACACATATCAGAGGAGAGATCATACCAAATAAAGTTTACTACATTCGGAGCAATGTTGAAGAATATTCTTAGTCTTTTCAAGTGCTATGTGCAATGCGCATAACGCTTGAATTCCTGATGTGCTCCTTGGCCGTGCTGCTTCCAGATCTGGGAAAATCCCCAATACCTTGGAATAACTTGCCGAGAGTGTATTGCACATCCCTCTATGTAACTGTATTAGTAACCGCATACTTGTCAATTACTTATTCCATTAACCGAAAGTATAAAAATTGAAAAAACTAGTGATTAAAAATAAATCATGCTATGCCATTAAAAATCAAAACTAGAATGACCTCTCCCAATTTTTTTCCAAATACTCAGGCCTTGTCAACCACAATAAATTCAGAAACATGAATGTGGAATCTTGCCAAAATTCAGTTGAATTATATACTACACCACAACTCCAACTAATTAATTATCCATTCACCAATTCCTGTCAGAGATGTGTTTCATATGTATACTAGAATTAAAAACAGAAGCTCAAGCACCTAAGGATTTGGAACTGTAAACATAACATATAGGACTCCAGCCAGAGCCTCAACTCAAACCTACTCAGCCTAACAAAAAGTGCAGCCATAAGCCAAATTCACTAGAACCCCAAACAAGTCAGTTTTCATGGCCATGTACCTTTGGCTCGCCAAAGGCAAACAAGTTATCTTCAACCTCGGCATGATCCATGATTCCCATTCAGCGTGGCGATGACAATACAACTTTATATCAACTGAAATGCAGAACACAAGTTAATAACTGTATAAGCCAAAAGAATTTCCCCTTCTAAACCCCGCAATAATTAATGCAATGAGTACCCATGACAACAACATTTAACAATGCCCTTCGTCTCATTAACTTGATGAGCTGAGCTAATAAATGCAATTCAAATTATAAGTCATCAAATCATCAGTAAACGACAACAAATCAAAATCAAGAAGTAAAAGAGAGAAAACATTAACAACTAAAAAAATTACGAAAATGAAGAACTTTGAGAGAACAAAGAACAATTTGCCGATTACCAATCAATAAAACACTATATAATTCATAAATTATGCATAAGTCAGAATAATACAAATTCAAAAACTTACCCATTAACGCAAGCCTCACAAAAAATGAAATTTCAAAATGAGAAAAAAGGTAATAAACAGAAACAAGAAATAACCTCCTCATCTGAGATCTCTAACATGACAAAATCCATACATGAACTCCAGTTATGAAATCCTCGGAAACGAATTCGAAAACCCAAAGTTAATGAAACGAATTCGAAAACCCAACCACAAAAAACTGCAAAATTGCCAGCAGTTTGTGACTCAAACCCCAAAAATGAGCCAAACCCAACACCAAAAACAAACAGATAAAAAAAAATATTTCTCAAAACAAAAACAATAGTATCATTATCTTCAGCTGGAAAATTCAGGGTATTGTTGCTGAAACGTACCGGAAAGAACTTAATACCATCCAAGGAGGCTTCATTAAACAAACATGAAACATCTACAGAAAAACTGACGGAACAATTGAGGTTTTGATAATATATTGTTCATATCACCACACTTTGATATTGCGTTGGGATTAGCTGTTTTTAGAGAGAGAAATCACTCGTTATAGAAAGAGAGTCACTTTTTTTTTATCAGAGAAAGAGAGTCACTTGAGAGAAGGATATTAAGACAGATAGCGAAAGAGAGAAAGAGAGAGAGAGAGGATGTGGTGGAGTTTTAGTTATTTTACGCACAGTAGAGGAGGGCAAAAATGGTAAGGGAATATTTGAAATGGATAATTTATTTGTTTAATAGGATTGAGGAAATTGTTAATTTGTGATTTTTCAAAAATAAACTATTTTTAGAGGGGTGTGTTTGGATTCCCGGCCGCCTTTGTCTCTCCGGTTTCACCGGCCGACAGCTGCCGACCTCCTATTTTGTCGGTCTGCAGAGACGTCATAAATTTTCTTAAAATGTCAATATAACCCTTTGACACCAATATCCGGATGGGTTTATACCCCCTTTAAAGATTTAATTTTTATATTTTATTTTTGCTTAAATTTAGATATATTTTTATTTAAATTTAAATTTTTTTTCCTTTAAATTTAAGTTTTTCCATAGAAAGATCTATAATAAATTAAACTTTTATATTTTTCTTACACAAATTGAGATAAGAGTTTAAATTTATATTAAAGACAATTTAAATATTTTTCACACGACTAATCGCTCGTATCTAATAAATGCCTACTAAGAATACTATAGAAATGTCGAAACGTCAATTACGCCTTTATCACTGGACTGTTAGTACCAGTGCTTCACCATTTATCATTGAATAAAAGTATAATGAAGAGTATCAGCTTCCGGTTAAGACCTTCTCATTGTATATGTATCTTTCTTTTTATCAACCATGCATTGGTCTTCTATGATAATGAGAGTCATCGAAAATAAATTTTTTATTTCCAAAGAGAATTTCTAACCGGACTTAAATTTAAATTTNATCAACCATGCATTGGTCTTCTATGATAATGAGAGTCATCGAAAATAAATTTTTTATTTCCAAAGAGAATTTCTAACCGGACTTAAATTTAAATTTAAGTTAAAAATCCAAAAAAAATTACTCTAACCTTTGACTCAAATTTATACTAAATCGAGAGAGTCTTTTTTTTTTACTCAAATCTAAAGAGACTCAAATTCTTACTCAAATATTTAATAGTGAAATTTTACTATTTTTTAAAAATCTAATGGTCATCTTGTTTCTCTTTTTTTAAATTTGAGTTTTTCTTTCTTTAAATGTGAATTTGTCCATTGGAGCCATTTGTATCAAATTAATTTTTTTACTCAAATGTTAATATAAATTTAAGTAAAAATTTGAGTCATATAATTAGAGATGATCTAACATAAATCTCTATAAACTTTATACTCAAAAAAAAATTAAAAGAATTAATTATTTTACTAATTTCTATACAATATATTTAGTAAAAAAAGTGATGGATAACATTTTTGACAACTATAAATATAATTAGGGGTAACCCGTAATTGAATACANTTCTATACAATATATTTAGTAAAAAAAGTGATGGATAACATTTTTGACAACTATAAATATAATTAGGGGTAACCCGTAATTGAATACACAATAAGTGAGCAGTAATAGATTTGGAGGAAAAATTTAATGTGAATAGTTTTGAGAAAAATGTTGGTGGTCGTTGAGTCTATTTGAGATCGCCGAATGAACTTATTAAAGTTTGTCATGTTTATATTATAAATTATAGATCTATAAATTATAACTCAAATTAAAGAAGTATACAAATCACAGAGGTGGCCACATCATCCTTCCGGTCTTTAGATGGAATTTGAAAGAGTTTCATTCATGCTTTAGATTTCTTCAAAATCTTCGGGAAAAGAAAAATAAATGCTTGACTGAAATATTTTTCCCTAGACTTCTAATAAAGTCTATAAGCCAAATCTTAGAAAATTTTAATAAATGGAGAGGATTGTTGTGGTGTCCTCTTAGAAAATATTTATTATACAATATCCTTCTTTTTTTTCACTTTAAATATTTGGACTTGACTACATTATCAACAAAAAAAAATTGATACCATACATCAAAAATTTGTTACTTCAGTGGATATTTTTATAATTTTTATGGGTCATTTTATAATTAAAAAATTTATCACTTTTGTGTATAATTTATTACTTTTTGCGGGTGTTTTTTATTCTTTGCACACAAGTATTAGGATTCTGTCAAGAAATTATTTTCTTTGTTTCATAAAATCTAATGGGTACTTTGCAATGTATCCAAAAATAAATAAAATCTAATGGGTTATGGATAGTACAAATGATAATACAGGAAAGATAAGGGTATTTTGATAATTGCAAATTTAATCTCACCGTACAACTTGTCCACGTGGTTGTGTTTTTCACCAAGGAGTTTCACTAATATTTATAGGCTTGGACCGGCCAGATCCGTCATTTGCGGAGGTCACTGCAGTTGTGGTGCCGGAGTTCCTCCCAAATATATATTTCTTCTTTTTTTTTTTGAATTTTCTCCGTTAATTATGGGGAGAATATTTATTTTACTATTGGTATCATGTCCGTACTATTTAGTAATATCATCAACCAATGTTAAACAAAATAAAAATTGATTGTACACAAATTAATAACTATCCGTAATGTTAAACAAAATAAAAATTGATTGCACACAAATTAATAACTATCCGTTCCTGTACATCAATAACTACTGAAGTGGTGTTCAATTTACTTGTTCAATCTTTTATTATTACTTGGTGATAGTATGTAACAATGCTGACATAATATCACAATTACATTAAATATTTATTCTTTAATTACTGTGGAATTCAATTTGTATGTGGTGACATGATTCAACTATGGATGAATTCTGTATATGTTGAGCAATTTTCCTTACAAAAAGAACAAATTGTCTAAGGTCGGCGTGAAGCAATCAAAGACACTTCAATACTTAAGTCATATATGATAAATACAAGGGAAGGAAGGTGCACGAACAAATAATGTTTTCCTTTTTTGGACCTCCTCGGTCCCTTTTATAGATTCCTAGGCTTTCCTCCCGTAGGATTCCTCTTGCTTGTAACGTGAGGTAGTATACCCCTATTACCCTGGCCTTTCAGTCACACTTTAACGAAATCTCGCTAACGTTCGACAATCAGCTATATTTTCGGGATTTATTGGGGATGATTTACCATAACTTTAGCAACTTCCTTATCTTATCCATTCAATTTTTTGAATGATCGATAATTTACTTAACTTGGACCGAGCTGTTCAACAACGATGCTCGGCCCAGTTAACGAAGTAAATCTTTATATGACCCAAGCTATTCTAATTTTAATTAAGCTCAGCCTAATCAATCGAGCATATCTAATATGCTGAGCATGTGTAATAAATGATCATTTATTCTTGATCCGACCTCAACTAGCTTAATCTTGTCTTAAATCGTCAATATCTTAAATGTACATGTGACCTTGTCATGTTTGTACCACATCCGCAACTTTATAATCACAACTTCGTTCATTAGATAAGTGTTAGGATTTGTTTGATTAGGAANCATGTTTGTACCACATCCGCAACTTTATAATCACAACTTCGTTCATTAGATAAGTGTTAGGATTTGTTTGATTAGGAAAAAAAAAATAATGACAAGTAAAGTGAAAGAAAAAAAATTAAAAAATATATATTTTTATGCATACATTTGGTTAGTATAAAAAGTTTATGAGAATTTTTTTAAAAAAAATTCATTCTATTATTTAGAAGAAAGAAAATTTTAATTATTATTTAAATTACCCTTAATTATATTAAATCTGTCTAAAAAAGAAAATATATATTATAATTAAAAATTAAGATTTTTTTAAAAAGTGGCTCCTAACTTAATTCTAAGACAAGGATTAACCTAATCCTAATCTTACGCCAAATTATATGGTTAACCAAATCCATACCAAATTTTTCTAAAATTAATAACCAATAAAATTTTTAAGAAAAAAAAAAGAGTAAAATAGACAGTTAGATTATACATCACAACTTTCTTGCATTTTCTTGTATTTTTTACACACAAAAAATGGTTAGTTGTAAAAAATAAATTATAAAAAAATTATTTTTTTCATCAATTTTCATTTCATGTTGACCAAATAATGAAAAAATTAAAAAAAATTATCTTGTATTTTTTTACCACTATCCTGCTAGACCAACAAATATTTAGGTTAGATGTCATAAATACCCCTCAATTAAGACCTTTGTTTTAAATTATCTCTTGAGTTTTTAATTGTCCTAATT